TGGTTTACAGTTGGTGCATTACGCTTGTTAAGGTTCATAATACCGAAACGTTTAAGTGCACTTTCAAAAGCAGCCAAATTTTGGTAAATTACTTTTGGCTTTTTTTCACTAATGCGGTATCCTGGAGCATATAGCGCGCGTAATGGGTCAAACTTTTCGCTGGTGATGTCCAACTCACTGTCAGCAGGCATTGGAGAACTTGGTGGAGGCAAATCGCCCGTATCAGATTTTTCTTTCGTCGCTTTTTCCTCATTGTGAGGCACGATATCTTTTTGTTCGCTAATTTTGTGGCAGATATGTAATTTGTTTAGAAACTTTAATTTTTCTAGCTTTTGAGAAATTGAAAAAAAGCCTAGTAATAATTTATACTGAAACAAAAGAAAAATTCCGAATCAAAAGCGCCGGCTGTAAACAAAAACGCGAACAGCTGATGCAGCTAGGGATGAAACGTTACGAGTAAATACAAGTATACGCTCGATACTTTTCGTTCGATACAAAGTAACTTTGGTATCGATATTTTTGGACCAAGTACAGAGTAGGCATGAACCAAAAATACAAGATCACGTAAGAACGCGACGTTGTATTTGTAACTGGTTTTGAGAAAAAAGTTTGCGAAAGCGGGTTCGTCAGCTGAGCGTTTGTTTACATCACAAGCACCACTTTTTACACTTTTATTCAAGTAAAGAAGAGTTAATTCAACATGACAACACATTTTAAAGCATTTTGTTGCATCATTTTACCTAAATTGTGCGTTTAAAGTGGCTGACAATAATTTTGGCAAATTTTGGTATTCGTTGTTTTCTTTGCTTTGTTTACTTTTCGCTCGTTTTCCAGTGAAACAAGACAGCGTAGAACCCGTTAAAAAATTCGACTTTTTTCACTCTCTTGTTCTTACGTGATCTTATGTCTTTCGTTCATGCAGAGTAGGTATCGAAAAATACTCGTATCGAAACCCGATACCTACCGGCTGTCTTCACAACCCCTTATTCCAGAACGGGATAAATCCCCTTATTCCAGAACCCGAATTTTCATAATTCGTAATTCGTAGCTACATTACGAAAAACGAAAAATCGACATGCTGCAACCGTTGCGGAAACCTGTGCAGCATTGCCAGCTATCAGTTGTTTTTCGAAGACAGCTGTATGAAGGAAAACAAAGTGGAAAGTAATTAAAAAAACATTCATCAAGTGCTTATTTATTGTAAAATTGTTTGATTTTATATATTTTGAAAGAAACGATGGACTCCTATTGCATTTGCAATTATAGCAGCATAGTAAAAAGCCGTTCGCACCAGGCGATTTTGCGTTCAACTCACACAGGGTTGCACGAAAAAAAAATTGAATGGCTCTAAATATCAAAATATAAATAAATATAAAATATTCACCATAAATTCCATTGTTTAACTTTGCATTCTACTTTTGATTGAACGACCTTTCAACTAATTGCTTTCAACAAAGTTGGTCGCCAGCCAACATTTAAGGCCCGTCCACATAGAACTTTGGTGTTGCATTGGCGTTAGCGTCGCTTCAACAGCTGACTATGAATACATGAATTCAAATGCAGCCGTCCACATAGCCAAAATTCGACAACGCTCACGCCAACACAAAGCAAAAAGATGGCCAACTCTCAACTTTTCGCGTGCGTCGCTCGTGAGCTGTTGCAAATAAATAAAATTATGTGAAATATTTTTCCTTTTTAATCAAGTGCGGGCAAGAAATATCGTTTTTAATGCAATTATTGATATGAAATATTAATTTATCTGTCGTTAGTATGTTAATTTAGTGGCCCAAGTATTCGCTGCCAAGCGTTCATTGTAGCAAGCATACTTTTAACGTACGTTCTGTCAAACCAACGCCTACGCCAAAGCCAACGCGAAAGTTTTATGTGGACCGGCCTTTAGCGTGATTTTCCAGCACGTGAAGAAGGCGGATAAGGCAAATTTTGCTTCGAAATTTTTTCCTACACTGTAAAGCTGCCTTTACATGAGGCGATTTTTTGACAGGCGATATACGCCTGCAAAAGTTGACTTGCTGACATGAGGCGATTTTCTAGGCGGTTCAACATTGCTCAAAAAAAAAATCGCTCGGGTAAATGGTGATTCAAAAATCGCGTGCCTCAAAATAGTCCCGTTCGATCCATGGAGTCGAAAAGGTCGATAATTATGTTTAACCGCAGATTAGTGTTAACCGGACATTGAGTAACCGGCCCTAAATGCTCTAAACTGCCCACAATATGTAGCTGTGGTTGTGGTGTAATATTGCTGATGTAGCTAACGAAATAGTTTGTGGCTGTGGTATTACATTCTGGTTAGCCAGTAAAACACAACTCTTTAGGGCCGGTTGTTCAATGTCTGGCTAACACTAATCTGCGGTTAAACATCGTTATCGACGTCTCCGACTCCATGCATATAACAGGGAGTCGGTAACGTCGATAACTATGTTTAACCAGAGATAAGTGTTAACCAGACATTGAGTAACCGGCCCTGGGTACAATAAAACTAATCAGCTACGTATAACAATTCATATTACTGTACCGTATGCCTCGTTAGACATACATATTATTATTATTATTACGTCCGGAATACTCCAGCTATGACCTAAAAATATCTAATGTGCTAAACGCTAATTGAAATCACTCCACTATTCACTATTCCAGAAGTTACGCTTTTTGGAGGGTGCGATGTTCCAAATTTTGCACGGAGAAGACAGTCGTTCCCCATGGTGTGTCAGTGTGCTACTTACGATACGTGGGCAGTCATAAAAGGCTCGGTACCACGCTAGCGCACTTGGGCTCCACGATTTGCCAGACAATCTGGCCTCTTGTTGCCTTCAAGCCCTTCATGTACCGGAACCCACCACAGCGTTACGTTATTGTGGGCTCCCAGGTGGTTTAACCCTGGACGTGCTTCGTTAGTCGATTCGACTTACAAAAATCGTGTTTCGCTTCGTACCTCTCACTAAAGTCATTTACCATTTTGTTTATTATATGTAACAGAGAAAATAATATGTATTTAATATTTTGTTTATGTGTTTGAAAAACGATAAAGAACTAAAATTCATAAAATGTATTTTCGTTTTTAACTCTTTTAAGTTTGTTATTCCAAAGAACGTAGATAACAAGAAGGGACAACTCGTTATAATTGTGGCGAAAGTGCGCAACAAGGGCATGCCTTCTCTTCTGCCCTAGTGCGTTTTTTGATTTGATGAAAGGAGAAGACACGCCCCTGTTGCGCACTTTCGCCACAGTTATAACGAGTTGTCCCTTCTTGCTATCTATCTTCTTTGGTTATTTCAATTCAAAGTTGGTGTTAGTCGTTTCGACTAACAAGCCCACAGACAGGGTCAAAAGACTCTTTGAGAATAATTTTGTGTGTGGGTGTGTGAGAGAAATGTCAAAAAGCGAGAAGGAATGCAAAAGGAAGAAGAATTTTTACAATAGAAACGTAAACAACTTGCAGAAGTGTGACGTCATATAAGATTCTTTCCCGTATCGAACGCGGGATCCCTCAGGATCCCTGAACAGCCCAGAAATCATTCCTGTACTTAAAAAATGGGTAATAAATAAGTATAGAGCGAAATTTGGAACGAATT